TGTTCCAGCGTCTCACCACCCTCACAGTAAATAATTTTTTCCTAGTATCTAATCTAAGTCTACCCTCTTTCAGTTTAAAACCATTACCCCTCATCCTATCACCACACTCTCCAAGAAAGAGTCCCTCCCCATCTTTCCTGTAGGCCCCCTTTAAGTATTGAAAGGCTGCAATAAAGTCTCCCCAGAGCTTTCTCTTCTCCAGGCTGAACAATCCCAAGTCTCTCAGCCTGTCTTCATAGGAGAGATGCTCCAGCCCCCTGATCACCCACTTCAACAGGTCCCTGTCTTGTTCCAACAGGTCCATGTCCTTCTTATGTTTCTTATGCTGGGGGCCCCAGAGCTGAACACAGTACTCCAGGTGGGGTCTCATGAGAGCAGAGTAGAGGGAGAGAATGACTCTGCACTGTTCACCCTCAAGAAGAGGCAGGTTGACTTGTGGATTTAAGATAAGATTTGCTCAGGTCTCAGCATTAGGAGTCAAATGAAACTCTGTCAGACGGGAAACAGAGATAGGGCACAGGCAGACCAAGACAACCAACCTCCTCCTCCTCCCCATCAACTGAGGAAGTAGTACTGCAATCTCATTTGAAGTTTTCCTTCCCAACAGCACCTAAAAAACATAAGCTTGGCATAAAATAGCTTGAGCTCTCACTTGACGTCTGCTTTTCTCTGATTAACTATCAGTTGCATTATTGCCTGCTCCCCAGGCAAGGGACATAGCCCTTGCCTATGATAGAGTTTAGCAACAGTTAACTGTGAAAGAAAAGTAAATGTAGAAAACAAGGGTGGGAAATGGAAATGGAAGAGGAACCGTCAGAGTACAAGAATCTTTTCCATCTTGCCATAACATGCTTTCCTGTTCACACACTGTGGGCAGAACTCCACTATGTGACAAAGACCTGCTGTGCCAGACACCAACACCTAGCTTCATTGATACCTAGTCTCAGAGCTCAAGCCTCCCCCTACCTCTTCATTTCCATCCTTCAGGGACTGAAGGTTTCCCAGCTCCATACCACATGGAGCAGTCACCAGCCCCCTAACTCTATCCCCAGCTTGAGGAGCACATACAGCACACGGCAAACCCAAGTCAGACGCAGTCAGGGTGCAGATCCTACCTTGGCAACTGGTGATTTCCTCAGGTTGGCCTTAAGAATAGCAACCCGGGACTTCTCGTCAGGCAGGGGGATGTAGATGAGTTGATCCAGGCGGCCAGGGCGCAAGATGGCTGGGTCAATGATGTCTGGCCTGTTGGTGGCACCAATGATGAAGACGTTTTTCTTGGTGGACATGCCATCCATCTCTGTCAGGATCTGGTTGATGACACGGTCTGCAGCACCACCACCATCTCCGATATTTCCACCTCGAGCCTTTGCAATGGAGTCCAGCTCATCAAAGAAGAGCACACAAGGGGCTGCTTGGCGGGCCTGCAATAAGCAAATGGGAACAATTACTCCATGTTAATACCACCAGGCAAGGGGCGTGCTGATTTCACACTAAGCCTACCCTACAGTTAATGCAGCTCAAAGGAGTACCAGAGCACTGCTGCCATAAGGAGAGCTTGGAGGAGCTGCTCCGGAAGTCTCCTGCCACACAAACCCTCAATAAATTTTTCCTAACCCTCAATCAAATTCTCCTGAACAACAAGCTGTATTTCCTCAAAGCTAGGAGCATTGTGAACCAAGCAGAAGGGTGGTAACTCCAATGCCTAGAGGGAAAGCTAGAGCCAATTTGCCTGGACCAGAACTCTCCCTGCAAGATCTGGGGACATCAATTGGTTATTTAGGCACTCAAGTATCAGTAGGCAAGATATATCAAATGGAAGGGTAAAATCCAATCACTGTCTTCAGCTACCTAATGGGTAGTCATAGGGAAAAGGGAGCCAGATCCTTCTTTGAAATGTGCAGCGAAAGGATGAAAGACCACAGGCACAAATGGCTGCAAAGACAGTTCCAGTTAGAAATACGGAAAAAAAAAATTTCTTCACAATGAGAGAGCTCAAACACTAGCACAAGGCCCAGAGAGGTCAGGGATTCTCCATCCTTAGCACATGTTCAGAACATGAGGCCCTGTGCAACTTGAATTTCCAGGTTATCTCCCTGCTCTGGACAAACAGCTGGACCAGATGGCCTCTGAGGTTCCCTCTCAACCTAAATTTTTCTCTCTCACTCTCCTTCCAGCTTTGCTCTTTCAGCACCTTCCCTGACCACAAGAGTGAAGATTCCCAAGATAATCCACACAGATACCTCCTGGGACAGGAGATCACACTACTTATGGGGGAACTGGGTAGAAGTGAGCTCCTTTCTAAGCCATATATATTGCAGGAAAAGAATAGACTAGATTAGAATATTTCAGTTGGAAGGGACTGACAATGATCATGTAGTCCAACTGCAGAAGAACAACCCATAGCTTGTTTCAAAAATCTGTAGAAGGTGATGGCTAATGAGGTGTCAAAGTAAGCTTTCAGGCATGCAGAGAATATCTATGCCATCCTAATGCTAGCCTCACTGCTAAGACACTGGGGCATTTATCATCCTGTAACAACAGATATAAATTGCAGCAGGAGAAAACCATTTAAATAGCTATGTTGCCATAGTGAATTAATCAGAAAAGCAGCCTCTGCTCTCAGTGCAAGTGGGGAAAACACAAAACACAAACAAAAACCAGGCCAGCAGTAAGACAAATGCAGTGGAGAAAATGTTTTGGGGGTATCTCAGCACAAACATAGCACAAGTAGAAGATACACTTACCTTGTCAAAGATCTCACGTACGTTAGCTTCAGACTCGCCAAACCACATGGTGAGCAATTCTGGTCCCTTGATAGAAATGAAGTTTGCCTGGCATTCATTGGCAATGGCTTTGGCCAGCAGTGTCTTACCACAACCAGGTGGCCCATAGAACAGAACCCCTTTTGATGGGGTCATGCCAAATTTGAGGAACTTGTCTGGGTGCTCCACAGGATACTGAAGGAAAACAAACCAAACAAACAAACACCTCTCATGATGAGCCAGAACAGGTCTGTATCTTAGAATCATAGAACAGTTTGGGAAGGGACCTCAGTGCCAGGGAAGGTTATGGAACAGATCATTTTGAGTGCCATCACATGGCATGCACAGGACAACCAGGTGAACAGGCCCAGCCAGCGTGGGTTTATGAAAGGCAGGTCCTGCTTGACTAACATCATCTCCTTCTATGATGAGGTGACCTGCTTAGTGGATGAGGGAAAGGCTGTGGATGTTGTCTACCTGGACTTCAGTAAAGCCTTTGACACAGTTTCCCACAGCATTCTCCTGGAGAAACTGGCTGCTCATGGCTTGGA